GTAAAACCAGCAAAAGTGCTAAATCCCTTTAATCCAAACTCTGCTTAATGAAAGTAGCAAAAGTTCAAATTTACAATGAAGAGCCACCAGTCTAGCTGACAGAAAACTAGATTTATGAGAGAGACCAACTGGACTGCAAGCCAAGTTAATGTAATTGCTTTTCTCCTGAGAAAAAATTTCCTTACAAGCTGCCAACCTTTAGAAATTGCTGAGCTCACTGCAAGGGGCTTAGAAGGCAGCAGCAAGAAGGATATCTTCTTTCCCAAGACACTTGGAAGGAAAACACTAAACAAATTGAGTGGGTTCAAGAGGTGGTTCCCCTGCAAGTATTTTCTCACATGAGATGTAAATTTTCCTTTGGTTATGGTAGCAGCAGAATTACAACCATAAATAGCCTTGTGAAAATGCTATTTTGAGTTTTAACTGGTATCTGTGTGCACGTTTGTACGTACCTGCAAGTATATAGAACCTGCTTTCTCATTACATATGTGTATTACTCAGGCATTAGCTAAATTTTATAATTAAATTATGTATTTCCTGTGTGTTTCTTTATATAATGTAGTACTCCATATTACTAAGCAGGATTTTAACGAAAAATTAACTTTCAAAATGCAGTTTACTTATATATTTTCATTTTTATTTGCACTGTAACAAATCTGTAAAGCTTTCCTGTAGACATGCAGTGATCATATAAAAAAACACTGCTTCAGGCTGGTTACATCAGCCAATTATACTGTTTTATTACTTCCTTTTTCTGTGAGATTGGGCACTAAAAACAAATAAATTAATTATAGTCCTGCATTTTTGCAATAAAGAGCCTTTCAGGATCAAGATTAGATATGCCTTCTATGCTGAAATGTTATTTTAAATTACCCTTTTCAGTTCACTTGTCACTTTCAATGTGTGATGCATGGGGCACAGCTCCATTTGTTTGCTGTTCCTACCAGAGTTTGAAAACTCTGAAGAAAAGACAGCCCACATTTTTAAAAAACAGTTTCTAGAAATCTGTCACAGAGGAGAAATGCATTGGGAGGAAGGCGTTCAGTGGGTGCATATGAGAGGCAGCCAGAAGAGTAAAAAATGGAATATTAAAGCACAAGAAGGGACACAAAGTGAGGAAACACAGCAACAAAGGTAAAGTCAAGGAGAAGGATGCCTTCAGGCTGGAGAGGGCTCTTGCAGGCACAGCCAAGGTAAACTGGGATGAACAAAACAAACCCAAGTGCTGCTGCACAAGACAGGGCCAATATGTGCCACTGGAACTTCAGGGAAGAGTCTCACACTCCCACAAACAGGGAAGCCAGGCACTTACAGGAGAAGTGCACAGAACCAGTGGGGGTGTTACTGCTGCTATTTGTGCTTCAGGAGGAAAAGGTCCTTCCAGCTCATCACCAAATTTTTTCTGTCCCTTCGGCAGTAAAGTCAGACATATTCAAACAAATCTAATGTTATGGCAGATATTACAATGGGATATACTCAATATTTGATTTCACCATGATCAAAAAGAGTATCAAAGTTACAATCAGTTACTGCTGTTGTTTGTATAAACAGGACCACTATCAAAGAGCAAAAAGTAAACATGTTTAATAAAAACAAGTGATGAGGCTGTCCCTGGTTGTCTAGAAAATGCAGTAAATTCCTTTTCAAAGTAGCCACCAGGTCAGACAATAGACATTATAATCTGAATTATTCTGCACAGCCATAAAAAATTGTGCTGGGAACAATTTTGTGACAGTCCTTTGTAGAGATTCTGTGGTAGCTGATGGAAAAACAATAGGGTTTTTCACCATTATTTCCCATGGTTCCTGGAAAAGGCTGTAATCATTCAGCCTGCAAATGCCACAAGTACATGCTAATGTGTGAGACATGCACATACAAATATTTGGGTACAACATAGACAACAGTGACTGAAAGATAAACCTGCCTCTTCTTGGACCTGAGCTTTCAAAGACATCCAAAAGAAAACATGAGTATTGTATCCTATGGAATTTCTCACCTGAAATTGGGAAGAGGCAGACTTACAAAATCTTGATTTCAAAGTTTACTATTAGAATGAGAACTGCTACCTAGGTAAAAACATAACTAATGGCCCACAAAAAAACCAAAACTAATAGAATCAGAGCTTCACAGGATTCTCTGAACAAAATTTTAGATACTAGATTTGCTGGGAATTTATTTTAGAGCAACAATAATAATTTCATATTCAGTGACAAAGCTTGTCTAATATTTGTATCAAGCAACACTGCAGGTAATGAACTTTGGCTTCCATCTGTTCTGCTCATCTTTAGAGGGTCTCATCCATGTATGACCATAGTTTTTATATAAACATTCCTATATTAGCCAGATTACTGTGAAAATTCATCAAGAAAAGTTACCTTGGAGTGCACAGGTGATAACAAAGCCTCTCCTAGTGAGAGCAAAACATCTCAGAAATCCAGTCTGTTCATCTAAACTCCATATTGTACCACCCTTGAATATAACTGTGCTAAAAAATTGACTGCTCCCTTAAGAAAAGACAACCCAAATCAAAAAACCTACAATCTGATATTTCTATGTATTAAATTGTTTGGTGAAACCCAGTATACATAGAAGCAGGGCAGGCATTCTGAACACAAAAACAACAGTGTGATTGAAGGGTTCTGTCAATTGAAAACCTCCAGGAACTTCTTCATTTTAGCCTGAAAGTGCCCATTGCTGCTCTACTTGCAAAGCAGCAGAATGAGCATAATACATGTCATAAATTAAACATCAGAGAGATTCTTAATGTTCCATGAAGGCATTTATTCACACTGAAAAGTAACATTTAGGTATTATCTTTTATGCTGGTGATGGAGTATTACTCATTCATCAGTTCTTTCCAGAGATCTTGCTATGAATATTCAGCTCTTGATGACAATAATGAGAATCCAAGGTGCTCTGCAATACTTGGACTCTGGTATGGCACCATTGTCATACAGAGGAACCAGAGTGAACAAGGCTGCAGTACCACACGTGTCACTCAAAACTCGTGGGATGGGGTAGATCAAGCTCAGCCTGCACGGAGTGGAGGCGGAAAAGTGTCTTTGGAAACAGAAATGTCAACTGATTTCGAACTTTGAGATCTGTCAGAAGGGACATGACTGCATATTTCTTTCTTGGACTCAAATTTCAGATGGCAGAAGAAGATGAAGGAAAAGAAACAAAATTTTCAGAATCTTCCAGAATTAAAATAATGCTGAAGAAAACCTAGTTCTGTGAGGACAAAAGCTGCTTAAGGGGTCTGCCATGACTTCTGTGAGGCTGGCAAAATACTTGGATGTATTTCAATTACCATTGTTATTATTGCTACTTCAAGTCTGTCAAGTTCTCTTGCTTCTCAGCAAATGAGGAAAAGTGCTGGGATATGGATGTAAAACAGACTCCATTCCTAATCATCCTAGGGATGGTGCTGAGGTCAGCTATTCTGAACAGCACTGTGTACTGTGTGACTCAATTCACACTTGCAGGAATAGTCATTAAACAAATTAAAAAACATTAAACCCTTTCCTACTACCTTGTCTGCGAAACAAACTTAATCTAATCTTGGTGATTCTGGTTGGGCAGATTCAGGGACAAAGAGTGCTAAGAGACATATTAAAGAATTATAAAAATACTTTTAAATGTTGTATTTTTAAGGGCTCCTGTCTTTTGCCTCAGCATATATCAGACCAAGTCTGTGCCTCTTTTGATACTAAATTAAAATTTGAAAGACTTTCTGATAAGAGAATTTAAATCTCAAAGTGAAATGGTTTCTGTGTAGGCTTTGCTCCAGTAAAATTGTGGAAAACTGTTTTTGTTAAGGACAGTTACTTAATGCTTGCATATGTCACGTTGGTCTGTGTAGAGCTGATGTCATGGTCACTGAAGAAGACAGGATATGGAAGTAATGAAAAAGGTCATGTGCACAAGAACTACCAAGAGCATAAATAAATCCACAGCTTTGCTCAGCACTTGCGTTCAACTTCACAGTCACAGACATATGTGCCACCATGATTTACACATTCATTCACATCTTTGTTATCACTGACAACTTTTTTAATCAGATTTGCTTAAAGGGGGTCATAGCATGAACGTAGCTAACAAGAATTTCTGGCCGCAACACCAAGCAAAGGGATGCACTACGAGGACAACATGCTGCATCAAATGTCAAACTGATATGTAACACAGCAGTGGGAGACACCAGCACTGATCAAACCATTTGTCCTTATGGGTTCCTTCCTACAGTTCACACTGTGAAGCAGAGTCATCCTGATCTCTCTAGGAGAGAGTACAGCTGGTCCTACTGCTGCACAGAATGTACTTACAGCATGGAATAAAGGGAGGAGATCACCCCTACAGCGTTAGCTCATCTTTAGCAGTGCAGAGAAAGGAAGCAATATCTTTACTAAAACTATTTGTTAATTCTCTTCTGAATGCTGCTCTGGCTGAAATGCAACTGGGAGGAATGGGAAGAGAAAATGTAGACTCAGACACAAACAGAAGCTTTGGGCAATACATTATATTGTCCTAGCTAAATTTTTTACTGTTGGATGATATTTCCTTGCTGTAGAGTTTCAGGGCCATGTAGTATTCTTTTTATTAATTTCTGTTCTTCCCTCCTTTGTTGAGGAGAGCCCTTTCCAGAGCTGTGGTTTGCACCATGCTAATGATATGGTCAGTGGTTCTTGCCTGGTGGGCAGATAACATTGGCCTATGTTCTAACTGACAGCAATCTCTTTCCCCCTTCACTCTGAATAAATCCAACTCATTCTCCAGTATACATCCAGACCACATAAGTGGTGCAGTTCTATGACAAATGTCAAAGGCAAAACCATCCAGAGCAGTTGGATAGTTGGTCCAACATTCAGACATGGGCGGTCTAGGGTACCTGTGTTGGCACTGTTACACAGATAGGGAAACATACAGGTAATTCTTAAATGCAACAGGATAATCTTAAGACTAGTTCATCAACCCCCTTTTTCCCAAAGAATTGCAGTGTTTACCTTCAGTCCTGTCTGGTAGTTTCCCACTTTTGCTTGTTGTTCCAGTGTTGACTGTTTCAGACGAGGTGCTCAGTTTGGTGTTGGGGTCTCGCTTCGGTTTTGGAGGCGGCTGCTTTCGGGAGCTGCTGCTTTCATCATCAGTGCCTCCAACTGAATGAAGAGACTGGGATCTGACAGTGAAGCCACTGGAGCAGGGGTGTGGCAGTCTGTCCTGAGGAGCAGGCATTGTCATAAATCCCATGCGGAAATGTTTCCCCACGTAGCTGCCTTCATTTCCTCTTGCTACTTCTCCACCTATGCTGTAACAGAAAATACAAATGTAAGTAAAAGGTCCTCCTTTGCCTGAACCATATCTGGAACCAGGGTCTCAGTTCTGCCTGTTACAAGCAGATCATGTTTTTGAATTTGAAAACAAGCAATGCTCTTCTCTGAAAAGATGACTACTAGAAAAGTTTATTTTTCAACATAAGCTGCCAACAACTGAGACATAGATACACTGCTACACACTCAGAATTTTACCAAAAAAAAATCAAAAAAAGCTTTTGTCAGGTTTCATATTATTGTAACTAGAAATTTTCTACAGAAGAAATTTCAAACATTGAAAGTCAGAACTGAGTTTTCAGGAAAACAGGAGACTGTGAGTAAGCCAAAGAATAACGCTTTAGAATTACAACAGGATGTATTGATCCACACTCCGTGACACTCATCTTTGACTACAGATGCTCATGTAGCTTGGGAAACAAGGCTCATGGCATCTAATCAATCTTTTCCCTTGAGACTAAAGAATGGTAGAGAACAAATATTCTAAAAATTACTTAGCTATAGGAAACTCGACATCACATCAAATCCACATAAATCTGCAACACAAGCAGCTTCAGACTAGTAAATTACAAGTGTAGGAGATGAAAAGACCATGGACACCAGGTGGGGCACCAGGAAGAAAATAACTTCCAGCCTTTTAGAACTACAGGTAAAAAAGAAGGAAAGTTCAGTTGAAACAAGTGCTACCATATACTGCATTTTTCTGTGGGTGTAATGACTGAGAACTTGATATTATCCCCGTTCCACTCATGCTTATCAGTTCTGAAAAACAGCTCTTACTGGTGTTTATACTGCAAACCAACAGCACATTTCAATTCAGGCAAGTCAGTGACTACGCAAAGAAACTCAGCAGCACACACAGGTCAGTGTGGGCATGTTTGCAAGGAGGTTTGAAATGGTACCACTGTGGGCATGCAGAAATGTCAGCACAAGAACTGTGAAGCATCAGAAAGCTCTAATTAGCTCCTGTTTTCTGGGTAAGTGCTTCTCTGAAAGTTTCTTACTTGATGTTGCCTTGGTCTGGTGAAGTTTATTTGGTGCTGGAACACACTTCCTTTCTTAAAAGACAAGAACATTTCTCAAAAATGTGAAGAGTAAGGAAGGCCACCTCATTTTCACCCCGTGTTCACTGTAGGTAACACACAAGCTGCATCTAATTGTCCTAAAGATATCAGACTGGCAATGAGCTTTGTGCATGATAAAGCAGAACTTGTTTTTGGTTTAACAAAAACAAAACCAAAAACAAACAACAAACCACAACCAAAAAACCCCAACAAAAAACAAAGCCACCTTTGTTTGCTTATTACTCTCCCGGCATTTTTATTCCATTTCCTCTCCAAGTGGAGATGTCCAATTTCCAAACTGGTTAACAACAGAACAGCTCTAACTGGCCATGTGCCACTTTCCAGGGGCACTGACACCTACCCACATGTGTAAATGTGTGCACACATGCCTGCCACACATATGCACACACTGGTCCATGCTCACAGCCAAGTTGTTACTAAATCCTAATTGGCATCAATTCCAAAGGGATTTGCAGCTAGAAAGATCAAGAGGTAGAACTCATTAATTTGAATATTTCTAAAAAACCTGTAGTTAGTTTGAATGATTAACTATGCCTCTACTAATCTTTCATAAATTGTTCTGAAAATAATATAATCCTCTGACACTGGACTGCAGAAAGAGCCTGTCATATTATTTAAAGAAGATTACCATCCAAACATGATGAAGAATGCAGGTGGGGAGTCTGCTTCCTTTCTAAGTCTATTGGATAATCACATTTGGCAAAGAAAGTTTCAGTTTGCTGTGTCTCCACAGCAATTCTTAACAGTTTACATTATTTAATTACTGCATTTACTTCACTGCTGTATGAAGGTGTTTGAGCCATCCACTATAAGCCAGTTTCTTATGGCAAGCTGGATGGACTTGCACAAATCCCTCTGAGGTGATCTATTTCACCGTTTTCCTAAGAATATACAATACACAGCACTGCATTTATATGAAGCATGGGGGGTTTTTTTGCCAAACTGCTGCATCTTGTCTTCCAGAAATTAAAACTTACCAAATAAACTCCTGGTGTCTAAATGCACTGTATCATTAAATTAAATCAAATCCTTCTCCACCCCTTAATTTTTTAATTCTTTATTTAATTTCAACATAGATGAAACTCTCACCTACTTCCTACACTTTCTCCACAGCAAAGAGCCTATAGCCAGGTGAGAGAGAGGTTGTGGGTACAGATGGGAACAGAACTTGCTGCTGCTCAGCATCACAGCTGGAATAGATCTGGTCTTGCTTTCCTACATCCCCTGCTCAGCTATCAGGCAAAACCAGCAGGGCACCGTTTCCCTGCTTTCAGCCACACTTAAAGGAGTATCCATTTGTCTTTGAATGTAGGAGCCAACATTCTGCTGCTGGTTAAGCTCTGTAAACTACAAGCTGAAGAAGCCTAGCCTCCAATCTTTGGTCCTGGGCCCTGGTCATTGAGCAGCATCACAAAAGGCTTAGGCTTGTTCCCTTCCTTGTTCCCTTAGGCTTGTTCCCTACACAGGTAGCAATTCCCAGTATAGGGCAGTGGGTGTTTCCAGCTGGGTCTGGCCAGTTCACACCAGCACAGCACACAGTGGGATGCCAAGTTCACACCTCAGCAATGCAGACCAAAATCCCCTGTGTGTAAAGAGAAAGGAATAACTCCAGACTCACACCAAGAGCACAAACAAGATCAAAAGCAGGATGGCAGATTTCAAATGTGGCATCCCCGGCCCTCAGGTAGCAGCATCATGAAGGTCCATTTGGACTTGTGCAATGCACAGTCTTGCTGTTGTTACATCATGAACCCAGACAGAATGAAAGGATTTTATTTATATACTCCTCCTGCTCACAGCCACAGGAGTTGGCTGGGCTAGCATGTGTCCCACTTCAGCACAACAAGCTGACAAAGATTTACACATAACTTGCTGTGCAGCAGTGACTACAGAGACAGTGAGAGAGAAAGGATCTGTGTAGGTCTCACTCTATTGTTTCTGACAGGTAAGACTGTGCTCCTCATTGTACTGATAATGAGTTCTATCTCATTTCAAAACTGTATTATGTGAGTTGCTGCAAGTATAACATAGTTTATTAATATATATGGAAATGCAGATTTAGATTATTCCATTGGGAAGTTTCAATTTGGCCAGGATCAAATGCTTCTCTGACAAAGAATTATGTACAGCATTAAATAACCATTAAAAATGCAAGACGTTTGTCTGCAAAGAGAGCCATGATTATATAACAACAAAATTAATGATATGATAGCTCAGGTTAAACACATCAAAACTGACTTGGTGCTGAAAATGCACTTCAGTGTTTGCCCAGCTCTAGCGACTGATGTGCCACAGGTGGAGGAAAGGGCAGTGCCAAGGTCAGTGTCAGACATCTTTAAGAAGATTGCTGTAAACCTTCTCTCCTTTCAGAACCATGTTACAGGCCTTCTCCAGCCCCAGCTCAGCAGGCCACACAGACCATCGAGTGCTACCAGGTTACACACTCACTCCCTGGGTGCACTGCAAGGGAAGCAAGACCCCATCCTTCTCCCTCTCCCACACAGTGGTGGAATTAAATCATTACAGCTAATACCAAAACAGTCAAATCTGTTTAAAACAGATCAGATCTGTCTAAACCAAACAACAGATTTCAGTTTTCATTTCTAAAATATCAACAAGAAATCTGACTGATAGATCCAGTGAGTCTCATCACATCTCCATACAGGTTTTGTCTGTCAGTTGAGTTCTTTGAGGTCAGAACTGGGCTAGCATTAAACCACACTGGCCTGGCTGCTCCTACAGCAGTGTCAGCCTGTTGGCACAGAGGCTGTGGTCACAGCAGGGCTGGACACTCCACAGCTCATTTCTGCCTGCCCTTTTCCACCAAGCAGATACTGGAGTATTGCTGTAACACAGCACAGGAGAATGGAAGAACATCTTTGATGAACTACAGAGGAGAAAGTCTTTTATATTATTCATTTCATTACACATCACAAGAGTGAAAGTTACAGAGGAAGACTAAACATTAGAAATGAGCACAGAAAGTACTCTAAATGCAAACAGCATGGGGAAGGTCGTGTCCACCTTGCTTTGCCGTGAGTCATAATGTTCCTGTTGACTCTGAACGTATTTTCAAGTTGTTAAGTTAGAACACTAAGGCAAATAAATTTTCATCACATTGATGAAAAATGCATGGCAAAAAGAAAGTATCCAGAGCTGTCTGCATCAATCAGTGTGGTTTTTTTAGTTTGCATTGTTCCTATTTAATATTGCAAAGAACAATTTTATTTGCTGTGCAGTTTCATTACTTGAGCCAGACAGAAACTGAATTAATTCCTGGAAAACAAATTAATAGTTGTATGAAAACTTTTGTTTTACTTGGTGTCACTGTTTAACTATAAACAAAACAGAATATTAAATTTCTCGGTGCAGCGGTAAAGGAGTAGAAATCTTGGACTAAGACCACAAAGACAGAATACCCTGGAGATGGATTTTCTTCTCACCCATCGACTCTTGTTCTTGGTTTTCAAGCAAAAATTCTATCAGTTTAAATAGACACTGTATTATTTTCATCCCTCAGGCACTAAGAACCACTTTATAGCTCTCCTCATCTTTGTATGGTTTCCTTTTTTCTTCCTCTGCTGCTTTAACATGGGATTTTCTGCTTTTTTGGCACAAGTTCAAAAAGGGAGCTACACCTGATTATGAGATTTGACCTCCAAAGCAGGAGGAAGGGGGTTTTGCTCAGCTGGGGATGTGTCATCTTTGAAAGTATTTTAATTTCTTTGCTGTGATAAATTCCAGTCAGGGACCACAGAAGGTCACCATCCTTCTAAGTGTTAGAATTCCAGGTAGCCAAGAGAAACCATTTCAAGAGCAGCTGCTTGCTCCTCTTGTGAGATTCATCAGAGATACTGGTTCATTTGCTGGCAGAAAGTGATCTGGGAGTCTCT